CCCCCCAAAAAGTACCCCCCCCCCCCCCCTCTTTAAGTTATATAATAAAGTTGAATACCTTCCCTGGGAGATATTGCTGCAGTTTTTGGCCCATTTTCTAGCTACGCCATTACTTCCATCTATTGTTTTTTTCAGGTTATCCGGAAAGGGCGAGTGGGGGGACGACAAACCAACCGCTGGCGCCCCCTCCCCCCGAAATTAATATGTACAACGATAAAACAAAAATAAATTTTGTATAGTTTTAAAAAAGAATAGTAACTGGTGCCTTTAACCGACTACAATTTGTGACACCTATGAATTATTGCTACGCTCGATACATTTGGTGATCTGTACCGTACGTGTAAGGCTAATCTTGTTAGAGGCTTAAACTATTCAAGTATAAATATCGTACTGTTCCGAAAACTGGCCGCCCCTGAAGATTTATTTCACGTTGCTAGAATTGTATCGGTATTTTTACTGATTTATTTTTGGTGACTCCAAAGAATTTAATAACAGTGTATTAAAATACCTTTAAAGCAATATAAAGGTCTACAATTTTAATAATAGTTCTTACTAAGGCTAAGTATCAAACATGTGCAATCTATTTTAAAATTATATTTCATCACAAGAGCGTGTCTTTTGAAGTAGGGATAGGTGTTAATTATAAATTGTATGATGCTTTGTGCTTTAAAAATATAGTTATTTCCAAAATTTTAAATGCACTCAATTCCATGTATGTTGAGCTAGATCATGGGTCACCAAGTTACGGCCTGCGAGTAGGATCCGGCCCGCGATGTCAGTTCATCTAGTAGAAAGCTTTTAAAAAAAATAATTTTTTTCTAAAGATTTTTGTGAAATTTTATTAACATGCCAATATCATTTTATTTTTTTGGTACTAGTTTAAATTCCCATTCTGAATCGTCATTTTAAAATAAATTCTTTGGATTTTGTAAAAAAAAAAAAAATCATGTTTAAGTATATTGAAATTGAAGAGGCAATTTGTAATTTAACTGAAGAAAGTTATTTTATTCATAGAAAACTTTTAAAAAAAATAATTTTTTTCTAAAGATTTTTTTGAAATTTTATTAACATTCCAATATCATTTTATTTTTTTGGTACTAGTTTAAATTCCCATTCTGAATCGTCATTTTAAAATAAATTCTTTGGATTTTGTAAAAAAAAAAAAAAATCATGTTTAAGTATATTGAAATTGAAGAGGCAATTTGTAATTTAACTGAAGAAAGTTATTTTATTCCATAGTACTTTAAAATTCCAAATAAAAATATTGGGAAATATAAACTTCATCCTAATATCCCTCAGTTAAAATCACACATTGATAAATATATAATGACTTTTGTTAACAACTCATGCCTTCTTAAGATAATTATGCAGTTCTTGAACGATTTATAAAAATTAACAGTTTTAAAAACCCATAAAAATGTATAGACCTTTCCACTTAACATTTGTTTTTCTTTTGACTCTGATTTTTATTATTTTAAGTAATTTGCTTTTTTTTCATATGATTACAACATGTAAAATGATTTTAGCGGTGATTTTTGTGATTTAAACTTTTAAAAATTCATTTATTAATCAATTATTTAACCCCAAAAAATAGATTAAATAACAAAATTAAAACTACCACATTACTATTTAGTGAAATAAAAAATAGTTGCGCAACACAAGCAGGTCAAGGCAGAGCCATCCCTTGACAGTATGACTTTTCCAGGTCCCCTGCTACCTTTTGATTTTGTCCTCCCCCCACCTTGCATTGAAAGATGATAAATAAGAAAGTGTCCACATAAAATCTTTAACTTGAAACTTCAAGCCCCTAAAATTTTCAAGGCCTTTTGCAATTGTAGGGGTTGCTGGACTCACACGATGGTTCTAAGGTTAAATGACATATATTTTAATCAAAAACCCTTCCGTTGCTCTCCAATTAAGTTGGAGATGTTTTAGTTGCTTACCACCTGAAAGTTTGAAATGCCACCTCATAATTGTCTGAAAGAAACACTGAATTCAAGTATGCACCAAAATGCACTTCTGCATTTTGAATTTGTGTATCTTCAGCACCCTCAATTTCTCCACCCCCCTTCCCTCACACTGATTAATGTAACAATATGGGATTGAATATAAGCTTGTGCCAAATGATTGCCTTAGGGCACTCCACAATGAGTGAATTTAGTTTATGTATGGCACTGGGTGCCATAATACCTGCCCCAGCACCTTAAAAAATGTCCCTCCTCTGAAAAAAATGTCTAATAGAAACAATGAAAAGTATACGCCAAAATGCACCTCTTGATTTTAAATAATCAAAAATTTTATGGGATGATCCCAGACCCCCTCTTCTGCTCAAGAATCATCGGCGCCCTCTATTTCTGCAACACTTCTGATGAAATTTATTGCCAATTTTGGTGCTGATAGATATACTGCCTAGAGGCGTAGCTATAATTAGTGACGCCATGGGCAGCCAAAGATTTTTGTCGTTCTCCCTTTCAGAATTCAAACTCTGCAATTGTCTAAAAATGCTGCACCTCCAAATAATGAAAAAGTACCACCTGGGTGAACCACACCATTTCTATGCCACTGGCAGGGGCGTAGCTAGAGAGTTTGGCATCAGGGTACAAGAATCATTTTTATGTGCACCCCCCCTCCCCCCGAATCATATTATATTCATTAAATACCATCAAAGCCCATTTTGGTGCCCTCACTAGTCTGGTGCGGGGGACGTCTATCCCATCTGCCATCCCTTAGCTACCCCCCACCCCCCAGAGGAAGTAGTCTGTAAGACATACTGCTGCCATCTATTGTTCATTCAAACAGCGTATGCAGTAAAATAAATCTGTAAATTGACTGGAGTCAGATGTGCAGTGTGTAACAAACTTCTTAATAGTGGTGAAATATACAAAATATCCTGTTTTCCCTTCACAAATGAAAAATATTCCTTTTCTATTTCATATATTTGTACTAGTATTTGAATTGTTTTCTGAAAAAATTATAAACATTTTTGTATTTTCTGCAATCATATATGATGTAATTATTTAGACATTTTGTTTTTCTTTCATTTGATTAAATTGGTTACTGACAAGTTCATACTCCCATCTCTATATATGACCCTCCAGAATGACGGAAAAAGAATAAGTTTCAAACAAATTTGACATTTTCTGAGTTTTAGTTGTGACATACGGGTACCATATATGAAAAAGCTGAAAAGAATGAAATGCCAAAAACTAAAAAATAAATTAAATTTTAGATTTAAAAAAAAAACCTGGGCTAAAAGAGCATTGGCATGATAAAATCCGATATAAACTGTGTTTGAAGCAGATATACTGAACACTGATCAGCTCACTTAATTATTTTATTTTCAGCAAAGTCCGACTCACTCAAAAAATCTTTATATTTAAACTAACCGTCTCACCCACAAATGCAACAACATGCAAAGAGAAACCTAATTTCAGAGTTAATTTCACTGGTTAAGAGAAAACAACCAACGCAAAACATAAATGTTTGAATGAGCTTTATGAAGGAACTTGCAACTCTCCTATATGCAGATGTGGCCATACAAACAAGGGTAATAGATTTGCTAATTTTTAAAGCTTAACAAATAATTATTATTAAACAATGGCTGGGGGGGGGGGGGGGGGGCTATGAATGTCGTTTATTCTCATATTGGAACATAATACATATTTAGTTCTGATAATGTTGAATTAAAAAATATGTTATAGTTTTTATCTCCCTGTTTCTAAAAGTGTCATTAGTGATAACTGAAAGGTAACTACAAATCCAAATTTACAAACATATGCTGTAAATTAATATAATATCTTTGGGGATCTGTGTAAAATATTTAGCTTAGAGATTTATTTTTAATGAAAATACAGACAACATTATGATGAGTATCACAAGTATAAGTAATTTTCTTTAACTTAATTTCCAATATTGCTAAGAGTAAAATCTAATAACCCTAATTTTAGCAGCAATAACTTAAATACATTCATGATTACATAATTTTAGAGTCTTATTTTATAGGTTCATAAAAATAAAACAAAACTAGTGGAACAAATGCTTATGGGTTTACATCAAATTAATTGCCAGAAAAAACAACCCAGCCATTAAAAAAAAGAAGCTCATAACAAATAACAGATACTATAAAGGCACACACTAGACCAATAAATAAACCAGCTTTGGTCCAACAGGAACCTTGCTTCCATTTTCTGATATTGTGACATTATTTGTCTCTGTATCAATATGAAACACACTTGACTCCTTAATTTGACTCTTGCCATACAAGATGTGGCTCATGTCTGGAATTTTTCTCCATCCAGTCTCACCATCATCATATCTGTAGAGCTTCAGTGCAGATGGATCTGAAACGGAACACAATTTGAATGTGTTTTTCAGATTCTTACACAACAGGGGTTTATTAGTGTAAAAGTTACTGTCGTAAAATATGTTTATAATAGCACTTACTTATTTTGTGGACTCATAATAACTGATGAATAACTTACCTTTAAACTTTGACCTATCAGATTTGGCTATTCTACTGATGACTTTGCTTGATGTATCGCCCTCAAAAATATCCAAGCTCAATTCAAAGAGGCTGCTAAAAGGTTGAGGGTTGATAAAACACAGCTTGACACTAGGCTGAAGAGAAATTCAATACACATCATTTAAAAATAAATATTGGTAGCAAAAAAACGTTTTTTATTTCAGACAGCTGTTAATTAACTTTTATACTACAGTTATTTTTGCATGGACAGCCAATTCTAAATCCCATGTAAAAGTAGCTGGCGTCTTCCAACTCAGGTGGTGGAGATTTTTTGTTCTGTGTACCTTCACCCCAAGAATAGCTGCATGAACTGACTAGCAATGTCATTCTCTATTTATTCAGGATAACTCAAGATAAATTTCATGCAGCTAGATCTTGGTTGAGAGACAGGCAGGAAACCTTGCCATTACACCATCTACCACAATGCTGATCAATGATAGATGAATAAAAGAATATAATTTTGTTTAAAAAAAAGACTTTCTATCAAAGACAAGTTAAATGCACTAAAAATGATAAAATAACTTACAGTTTCTTAAAAAAGAAAGACTTCAGAAGTGTAGATGAGCACTCTATGTAGCCAAAGGATTCATATTGAATGTAGACAATACTTAAATATATTTAATTTTTTATTAATTTTTGAAAATATTCTGCCGAGACATGATTTGTATAATACATTTTAAGAAATTGTAAATTATTTTCTAATTTTTAGTGCGTTTTAACTTGTTTTAGAAATAAAGTCTTTTTTATTTATTTTCTACAATTTAATCTTTAAATTATCGACAAAAGTTTAATTATTTACTTTTTAAACATAGAATGCTTTAAAAATCCTGGTTGAAGTGACTTAACTCTTTACCTAGGCATAAAATATAAAAAGTAGATCTGAGCTCAGCCACCCACCCGTTCACTCAAACACGAAGCAGACGCAGTCAACTACGATAGTTTGAACGACAGGGTCAACCCGCCTCCATCAACCCATGAGTAGATGTGATGTTGCAACGAGGCGATCAACACCATTCAGGTGTCCACTTCAAAATGTCACGTGTGTAAACAAACAAAAAATGCCTTATCCACAAGATGGAAATGCAAGTGGAAAGAAAGTCTATAAAAACATTTTAATTTCTAAACTTTTTAAGCAAGTGCAAATGGACTTAAAATACCTACCTCAGTGACAAATGTTATAAATGGCTTGCCAGGGCAGCACTCTTCCTTTACTTTGTCATCAGCATTATCCGAAGACTTGACTTCAACGCCTTCAATCTGGGGAAAAAAAATATACAGAAAAAACATTACTTCACTTAGACTAACCAGATTAAAAATAATTTTATAAGTTAAACCAAAACATATACAAACTAAAAATAAAACTATTTGGTATTCAGGAACTGTGGTTGAAATATGATCAAACTAGCTGTATAATGAGTGCTTACCTCTAGTGTGTTGATTAGATAAGGCAAGTTCAAGTTAAGGATGTTGGCCTCATCAAGCTCAGAAGTCAGGGCTAATGCTTTAAGTCCATTTTTTTCAACATTTTCCTAGAAGTTTAAATAAGATGTTTCAGTTGCACTTCGGCAAAAAGTTTATACCAGCAATAAGAGGTTAGTGATTATGCATGAGTAAGAAATTAAATAACAGTGGTCTTTTGAGAGCTCATCATGGCCTGTAATAACATAGATTAATTAGACACAAACAATTTGTGTCAATATAACAATATATGTTAAGCTTTAATAATAATTTTACATAATACACAAATAGATATTTCGGCACATGCTTTCATCAGTATAACAACAAAACATTTAAATGAGTAATTTGAATAATGCAGAAAGACATTTTCTTTTAAAATACTATATGAAACTTTCAAGTAAATTGGTTTTAAAAAAAATTACCTTGGCCACTTGTACAAAAGGCATGAGTTTTTTAATGTATTTCTTTAACTCTGCTTTGCTATTCAGTTCCTGGGCTATCACTTTGTTGTCAGGGAAACCTTTATTGGCCTGTAGAGTAAAAAAAAAAGAAGACATTTCAAAACATTTATTGTGGATAAATGTCAATTCATTTACAATATAGCTTTAAAAATCTACAGAATATCATATGGTTTAGCACCTATCAGATAAGACTTACGGACAAACTAACCTCATGAAGTTTTTGCAAAGTAGTCAGCACTAAATTTTGCCATGGCGGATATGTCTTGGCAACCCAGATCACAGCATGTGTGGGAGCTGCAACAACTTTCTGCAAATTTGAACAACTTTAAGTGGATTTATCAATTTATTTTTCATCTTAAAATTTGACATTCATCATGTTCACATACAATTACAATTAACCTATATTACCACATAAAGATTCAACAAATAATATTACCTTTCCTTTGCCAGCACTTTGCAAAGCTTTTCTTCTTAATCTGAACTCATGTGCGCAGTCAGCTAAATACTGAGAGGATTGGATCAAGAGCTCATCAACAGGCCCAGCTTCAGGCCAACGTGCCCACATTATACTTTCCTTCTATATACACAAATAAAAAATGTAAAAAAATAATTGCAGAATTAAAAAAAGGTAACAAAAAATACAAATTTGGGTTTATGGTTAAGATTATATATTTATTAATGCATGTAAAATATCCCCTTTTTAATAGTAATTTTGTTTTCAGGCACTAAAATGTAACAATGCTCCTAATATGAAAAACATTTTAAATTTATTTTGTTTCATTACCTTTCCCAACAGGCCCCATATATGCTCTGCTACATGTGGACATATAGGAGCCATAAGGAGGGCCTGGGTTTCAATGAACCTCAAAACAAGATCTTTGTGCATGCCCTGTGTTTCAATTTCTCTGTACATGTCTCGTTTTGCCTGAAACACAAGTTTCAAAACATTTATGACATAATGATTACATCATTCATTGTGATTATATCAAATGATACCAATGTATATAATAGCAAGAAAATACTAATTTCATTTAACAGTTCTCACCTAATATTGTAAAATTTACTTACAGTTAAAAAATGGTAAGTGCTAAATGGGATGGAGATACTGAATTTGGGATAACTTGGCTTTTTTTTTACCTGGAACTCAAAGAAGCTAGTTCGCAATGCAGCCTTAAACAGATAGCCTTCATAATGGACTTTGGTTTCCAAAATTGATTTGTTGATTTCACTAAAAATTGAGTAAAAAAAACAACAAGAAGATATTAACAAAAGCTATAAACTCTATACATATTTTAATGGTATAGAGCTTTTTGAAGATAAGGTACTTCATAAATAATGATTTTCAAAAAGAATTGTTAAAAACTGTCACTGCATTAAAACTTTAAGCCTGACCTAATAAACACTTTGTCATTGAATGTGTAGGTGCTTTCTGGTCCTGTCCTTAAATGATCCTTGTCTTCCAGCATCTCTTTCACCCACTCTAACAAGGCATACAGCCTTAAAAGACCAGCCTCTGCCATCTTCTCTACAAAGTTGGCGTCCTCTATATGGTCACCTGCATCAGCCAGTGACAGGCGCATACCTAGCAGATGACAAAAAATTAAAACTGTTTATCCTTCCAGCACCTATGCAATAGCTGCAGCATGGCTTCGCACTTTTGGGTGAGCTGTTGTACATACGATGTAATGGAATATGTCTGACTCATCTGTTTATTAATAAGTCCAATAGAAATTAAATATTGATAAAATTCTTTTTTTTTAAAATATTGCCAAATAGCTTGAAAAGATCACAAATTTTACTGTTAGTGAATACAGTAGAATTATATCAGTGGTTTTATCAATTAATAGTTGAAAATTCACAATCAGGAACACTTTATAATCTAATTAGAGCACCATCAATTTCTTTAACTTTCATGATTTTAATGTTTATTCAGATGCAGGTGAGCTTCAACTTAATGACTAAAACCTTGCTAAATTGATGACAATAAATTAAATATTCCCAGCCATTTAGGGAATTAACTAAGCTGTGTCAAATGTATTTTAATATAATACAATGTTCTTTCCATATAATAAAATTCTACGTTATCTGAATAATAACACATCAAACAATCTGTTAACTCTTAATATATACACAACGCCATTTTGTGTTAACTAATTTTAACCTTTAAATACTTTAGATCTGCGTCTATTTAACCTAACATCCAGAAAAATACTTTCCTCTTCTCTGCGCAGGCATCCTAAGAAGTTTACTCCTTTCCCAAATTTAACCTAACATCCAGAAAAATACTTTCCTCTTCTCTGCGCAGGCATCCTAAGAAGTTTACTCCTTTCCCAAAAGGATAAAATATAACTTTAAAAAAAAAAAAAAAAGCTTGTTTAAAGGCAGCTATATGTCAAATTAAGATTATTTGTTCACACCTATAAATAGCAATTTTGTAAAAAAAATTGAACTCTGATTGATGATGAATGTGATAATACAGTATGCGGCAATATATGGGTCAAAAGACTCATTTCCAAAAAGAACTGCCCAACATATCTTCCTTTCACTACTAGGAACATGTGGTGGCTGGAACTATGCAATGTTAAAAAAGCATATATGCTCTCAAGATGCAGGATTTTCAGTACTTTGTATTTTTGTTCAAACTATATTTTAGATATAATTAGAGATAATTCATTGGTTAATTATGCCAGCTGTAGTATTAGAGATTCCTGTATTTAAAGTAGTGAATTGAAATAAATTTTGTCCGTCTTGACAGTTTTGAAGGGGGGGGGGGGGGGGGGGGGGGGGGGAGGGGAGGGGGGGGGGGGGGGGGTGGTGTGTGTGGCCTAGAGCTTATGTGGATAGAATGGTCATTTTACTATATGCTTTAAGTGGGTATAAAGTGTTCTTCAGTAAATTAAGAGCAGCATACCATCAGAAGAGAATTTATTAATAGCCTCTTCCAAAGTGCAGAAGTTTCCTGTTGATTTTGACATCTGAAATGATACATTTCTCCATAAATAATAGGTAATGAAACGAAATTGTGAAATAATTATTTAATAAAGTAACAAAATCATAAGTTAAAATAATTGAAAATCAAATTCAGAAAAGAAAATACAGGATTTTGATTTTAAATGAATTAAGTATATTTTTAGACATTTTAAAAATTATATTTTGTTAATAAATATTTGTTAATGATTTGAGAAAGCAAAATATTGAAAACTATTTTTAAAATTAAGAAAATAATTTACTTTTTCAGAGTTGATCAAGAGATGTCCATTAGCTCTCACAGCTTTAGGCCACTTGGTCCTGGTGAGGCAAAATTGTTTTTTAGGGAATCAGAGTTTATCCAAATCTGGGTAATACACATTGCATTTGTATAATCTACCAAATATAAAATCAACTATCTAATGTATACTTGATTGAATAAGCAAATTAAATAAAACTTTTTAAAAAATATTCTGGCCTTAAGGACAAATTCATATTTCATTACTAATTTCACCATACTTGTCATCCGGCCACATGGCACAGTGGCAGTAGATAAAATAAGTCAGGTGGTTTGGAACCAAATCTTTCCCAGACATGCGCACATCAACAGGGTACCAGTACTCAAACTCACGACGAAGCTTGTCAAGCACTTGTTTAGCAATGCCACATGAGCTAGGGTATGGAGTGCTTTTATAGAAAATATAATCCCAGACTTCTGGAGTTAGTTGTTCAGCCCTGTGAAGAAGATTACAACTTTATCAGCTAATTATCATAAATTTATGAGCAAAAATACCTATTTCTGTATACAAAATATATCTCTCAAATATTGGCATTTTCAAAACTTGTTTTATTTACCTGATATTAACGGGGCCAGGCTTTGAGCCATCCCACACCCCACCCTGCAATAAATGATTGACTGTGTAAAAGGCCATGTAGATAGTGGAATCAGATAAACTTTCAATCAGGTACTGGGGGTCCCATGGCATTTTGGTACCAAGTCCATAGGTTCGAGAACAGGCATGTTCGTGTAGCCAGTCAAGGGTAGATAAAAAATTGTGACGCACATCATCTGAAAAAGTATTCATGGCACTTAATGCCTCTTCTGCTTGTGCCCGCCATGCAGGCTCTCCATAATCTAAAAACCTGAAAATAATCATTTTAATTATTGTGTTAAATTATTGCGTAAAGTTCTTAAACTAATGGAGTAAGTACTTGAAGGGAAACTAACCATTTTTATGCTGAACTATATGTTATAATTCTATGACAGTAGTACATGTATCTCCAGATTCTGCCTTGCTTGAGTGTGTACCTCAGGTGATGGAATTCATAGTCTGCATCCAGTAGTTTAATACTGTTTAATTAATTATAAAGGACATGCTAAAAACCAAACAAATAAAATAATGTACCATTGATCACACAAGGCAACAACACATTCATCACCAGAGCGAGACATGACAAGCTTCTCTGGTTCTTTATAGAGAAGTGCAGCATTCTGTGAATGAAGGTGAGGCTCAGTTACCATACCGAAACAACACATGCCAGTTAATACAGACCTAATAATCATTATACCTGATGTCTTGCAGTATTTGAAATTTCAGGTGGTCAATTATAAATGTTGAAAAATGAAATGATATTTTGGCATCCAAGTTTTAAAAAAATAAAAATTAATAATTCATTCTTTAACTGTAAATTTACAATCTAATCTAATTTGGTGATAAATGGTAAATTTAAGCAACATTCAGCAATAATTAGTCACCTGTTCAATTAACTGGTTTTGAATTATCTTCTTCACATCTTGGACTTTCTGTCCTTTAAAACCCTCAACAAGCATAACCTGCAAGAAAATAATAAATAATGACAAGTATAAAAGCAAAATGGTTTAATGTATTTAAAATATACACCCCACTTACAAACAAATATCCAACTTAAATAAAAGGGATCAGTAAATCTGTTGGCATGAAAATAAAAAAAACAATCAACTATTTTAAGCCACATGTAAAAAACAACTAAAAATTACCCCAAATATAACTTCATATATTGTTGAGAAGAAGCTTTTAAAGTCAATTTATACTTACACCTTCATAAAAACCCTTTTTGTAGGTGTCTTCCTTAGCCTCAGTTAGCTTGTCTCTGTCATTCTGACTGGCCACCTTGTAGATGTCACAGGCAGTCACTGCACAAAGGTTACCATAACCTGGTACATCAATGATGGGAATCTAAAGAAAATATACACAATTCAAACAAGGAAACTGGTAAGAATTCATGTTTTAAAAACGCTTGATAAATAAAGGATCTACTAAAGTCAGTACTGGACTTCAGCCCAGTTTCCTTTACATACTCTTACAAGTTGTCAGTAAATAATTGTAAAAAATCCGAATGTTACTGTAGGAGTGACTTTGTCATACTCACTGGCTCAAAAGGCAAAACCTTCTCATCTGTAATTCCATATTTTTCTCGCAGTTGCTAAAAGTAAAGATGTTAAAATTTGTTAATAAAGAAAATATAGTATGCTATAAGTGAACTTTCTAAGCACCCCCACTCTACAGAATTGAACTAAAAGCTTGCTAACATTACAGATTTCAATTCTTAAATCAATATTTTAACAAAACAAGATTGTTAAATAAACTTGTTTCTGTTGAGGCACATTAAACACACAATAGTAAAAACTGGTGCCATAAAAACAACTACTTAATAATGAAACCTAAAAACAACAACAATCAATATCTTTTGTAAAACAAAGAATGGTTACTTGTGAAAAGTTGAGTCACTTATATTATTATATGATATTGTCTATCTAGCTATTATCTTGTAGATGTATATTGGCCTGTGTTGTTTATGGTTGCAAGGTATGAAAGACTTAGAATGGGTATTCTCATATGTAGTTTTTGTAATGTTGCATTTTGTACTTCAATATGGTATGTACCACGCTTCGAGCCTTTGGGAATGAAGCATGCTTTTCAAATAATCTTTATTATTATTATTATTGGTATGAATGTACTCACTGGTTTGTTTTTCAAATCCCTGAGAGCAGCATAATCATCAGGTGCATCAGAAGGAACACTGGTTACAACACCAGTTCCTACACACACACAAGAAAGTTTATTAACTAATAGTAGTTTTCAAACTTCTACATTTCACTTTGAAAACAAGGCTGTAATTTGGATTATTTTTCACAATTTAGATAGCATTTAACATTGGAACGGTTAATTCTGTTAGCTCTTATCATACCTTTGTCCTCTTTAATAGTGAGCATTGGAAGAGAGTAGATTGTTTTGTAGCTTGACAAAGGAGCTTCAAGTGGAGTGCCAAGAATATCCTGCATGTAATTGATGAATAAAATTATCATTAATATTTAAATAAATGCTTAACTTTTATGAGGTTAAAAGTCTTTCAAACATGAAATTTACTTCAGACAAATCAGTAATACAAGTAAAGGTTACATAGATATTCTATATATCACAGGTCAAAAATGTGTTTTTAAATACAGTTACACCCTTACTTTGTCAATATATGAAACATTTAAGTTCAAATATAAACTTTTAAAAATTAATATTTGTTGGGCTTAACTAAAATTAATGTTTGAGCAATGAATCTATGTATCCATATTTACTAAGTACTTAACATACTTTCTTCCCACTGTTTTAAACAGATGAAAAATGACATGTTTAATAAATATTAAAATTTCAAATGTTCTAGCACCCCTTACAAATTCTTTTATAACAGTGTGGCGCATACATAATTTGCAATACTGCTGGCATAAATAATATGAACTAATTATGTAAAATGAATTTCTTTTAAAAAAAATTAACATCACAAATTTATAACAATCAATAAATTTATCTCAACAGGATAAAATCTATTATTAATCATGTGGTTTGTTCTAATTACAATCTTAATTTGTTTTTGACCCACCTGGCCAATCAGCTCTGCTAAGACCTCCACTTTTCCATTTTCAGGTGTCATATCCTGATAGCTCATATTACGAGCAGCTCTACGTGTTGTTATAAAAACTTCTCCAGACTTGGTGGACATGGCTATGTATTTCATGTCAGGGCGTACCCAGCAGTTTGTCTGGCCAAACATGGTTTCAGGCCTTAGTGTTGCAGCTACAAGGAAGACAGGCTTCCCTTTCAGAGACCTTCAATCAATACATTACATATAATTTAAAGCAATATTTCAAAACATGAAAAGCAGGATAATAAATATACAGATTTATCATTAATTTGGTTGATAAACATATGTCATGTGCAATGTATGAACCAAAAACAACTGACACAGTTCCAGTCTTTAGTTTTCTAAAATATAAAGGCAAAAATTCTAACCAGAACAAAGATGCTACAAAGGCTGAATAAAATATTATCTTACGCCAGCTTGGAAGGGTATGGTTCTTTCACCTTTAACTTTATTAAGGTGTACTCCTGAGGACCAACACCCTGAGGAATTTGAAAATAAAATACTGTTAAAGGAAATCCAAATTCAATTAAATTCTTCAACTATACAAATTTGAGTAGAATTTTTTAAATATCTAAAATTTGGTCACTTAATTAAGTTCAGTAGTTGAAAATAAAGAGTTCTGGTTTATGTTTTATGTAAAAACAAAAAGAACTAACAATAATTATTTAGTTACACATGCAATAATCATTGACACAATTTGTATACCTCGCCTGAACTCCTGTCATGGTCCATACAAGGTTGATTATCTTTTGGTGAGAAAATGGTATATCTATCAAAAAAGAAATCAATGAATTGGTTTTAATGTGTCATGAACTCTCTTGACACTAACATAAATTTATCAATTATATTATAAAGAAACAAGCTGTTCTCATCAATTTATAAAACTAACATATAAACAGATTTTGTTTGTTTAATTCTCCTTAAAAAGACAGTTTGATCCTCTTCAAAATTAAGGTCACAGAGTTTTTGAGAGATTTCACAATATTACTTTTAAATATTGTCAATGCTTAAAATTAAATGCTTGATAGAATTGAACTTCTTTTGGACACATAATACTAAATCTCACCTCTTTCCAAATTTGACCTTGTTCCTGTCTCTAAGTCTCAAGAAGTTCCATCTGACGAAAGAGTCAAAGTAAGGATTGGCGTCAGTTGTGATAAAACTCCTGCGCCAGTCCACCTGCATGAAAGTAACATTTAATCAGATTTCACTACATCAAACCACCAAAATAAATTGAGTCACCAAAATTGCAAACATCCACACAAAAAAAGAATACCCTGACAAATAATTATATTATATAGTTAAAATTTGTAAACAACAAAATACCCTTCATCCCTGACCCACAGTAAGTTGTTAAAAAGCTTATGGAAAAATCATAAGACCTGGCTACCCTAATGCAATTTAATGAAGGAGAAGTATTCTTTTTAAAATATTTTTTAATACTACTTTTTTTTTAGCCACTATTTTTATTCCACTTAAATTTTATACAATATAATATTTATCATATAATTTTAAAATTAAGTCAATAAAGTTTAGTATTCTAAACATGAGCAATTGAATTTATAACCATAAGAATTTTAAGAACAAACCTTAACCCCCATGCGTTTTAGATCAGTGATCCAGTGTGGTGGGAAATACTTCAGCCAAAACATTGGGTCAGCAAATTGTTTGATTTCATCATCTGCAAGTCCCATAGCACTCATGATCTGCCACTGATACTTTAAACCACCAGTTTTAGCTGCCACTTTGCTCTGGTGAAACACAATATAATATTTGAAGTAAAATCATTTTTTACTAACTACATCCTCATAATTCAGAAGACAGCAAAAATATATGGTATGTATGAGATGAACAGACAGAAGAAACCAATAAAATTAGAAACCACACTTTTGAAAAAGTAAATCAATTTAAATACCTAGGATCCTTTATAAATGAAAGAAATCAATTACTAACAGAAATGAAAGAAAGAATATTGGCCGACCAACAAAGGATGAATATGGATGGAGAATACGATCGAACCTGGACTTGAATAGACTATATCAGGATCCCACTCTAGTAGCAGAAATAAAAAGGGACAGGCTCCGCTGGGTGGGACACTTAGCAAGAATGCAAAATGACAGAGAAGAGGGCGCACCACCTAAACCCCAGATGAAAATGAATCAAAGGCAGACCTTGGCTAAGACAATGTGGAAAAAGATCTACAGCAGCTGGGATTCCGCGAATGGAAATGAAAAGCATCAGTTAGGTCTGAGTGGAAGGAAGTGGTGAGGCAGGCCAAAGCCCTACATGAGCAGTAGCCCCATAGGGATGGATATGAGAAGATCACATGAGTATGTATACAAAGACATAAAACAAAAATTTAAACAAATATATTATTTTATTATAATTAAAAGTGGCAAAGTAATTTTTGAAGAGAAATGTATTCAAGAGAATTAAATGAATAAACTAAAATATTTTGATTACTTTATTATTTAATCAGTCCTATTTGATCTACTTCAATATTCTTTTGGTTGAACAGGTTGGGCATTTATACGTCTTATAGCTATAAAGCAAAAATAAATAATAAATTTGTAACTGAAACCTTTTTAGATTTAGATTTATCTTTTCCAATTTCACTCTCTTTGGCTTTAGATTCCTCCTTCTTTACACCTTCCTCTATAGGAAATTGAGGTGGATAGCCAAAATCTTCCATCTCTCTCTGTAGCTTATCTGCACATGCCTGAAACATTTAAAGAATTAAAATTAAAATTTAAAAAATAGTCAAATAATAGCATTATCTAACTTTTTATCTTTGTTTTTAATGACAATATCTTGTTGATGTGATCTGGTCAAAATTACATATTACTTTCAAGATGTTTATAAAATGTTTCAAGAATTTTCTATTATATTCATAAGGAAAATAACTTGTATGTGATTAGCAGGGCCCAATATAAAGTATAATTTATAGCATTCATAAAGTATTTACTAACCTTGATGGGCATTCCAGTACAATGCATTCCAAATGGAAAAAGACATTTTTTGCCAAGCATTCGTTGATAACCAACTGCAAACTGAAAAATGTTGAGGGCATCTTTAAGTATCTGGCATCTTTAAGTATCTAATGGCACATGATATAATTAAAGAGAATGATACAAGGTGGAAAATATCATTTTAAGCAAAGAGGTGTATCAGTATATATTACCTCAAATACATAATTAATCCTTTTAATTCCTTACCTCACACTTTGACAAACTAAATGTGTGCCCCAAATGCATTCTGCCATTCATGTAAGGAAAAGGAAAGGTCACCATATACTTTTCTGGACTGAAAGTTACACAAAGGATAATAAAATTTAAAAGCAAAATACAATTACTAAAGTCATAAATGTAAATAATTAACTTTCAATTCCAAATCCATTTCTTTCCTTTTAATTATCTACCTGCTTGTTAATAGTTAAATGATGCAAAAGAAAATAATATGAACTGAAAAAAAAGCAAATTCTTGGCATTTGATATTAACATTAACTTTTGTTGAAATTTTACAATAAGAGATTCACAGTTTTTTTTTTACTCTGAATGGTATTATACTATAAAATTTCTGAATGATAATAAACATGAAAGCTAATTAAAAGATCAGTTCTTTAATTATTCAAACAATACATATTTACGTCTAAAGCTTTGAAGAAATAACTTACATAGCTTCTTTTGTGTTTAGTTCAGGGGCATCAACTTCAAATATTTTTTCTTCTTCCCAACGTTTTTGAACTACCCGTTCAATTTCTAATAATGTGTCGAGTTTTGCAGTGCTCTTTCTTTCAGAAGTCACATCCATTTTGTCTGTTTTATCCATTTTTATACACACTACAGGTTGAATAATCTTTCAAAATAAATATTAATATTATATTAAATTGTTAATTTTGTTATCTGAGAAATTTCTGGCAACACCACAAAAAAAGCCAAAACTAAAATACTTACTCTAGTTTAGATTTGTAGTAGTTTTTAAGGGGAAAAGGGGTTTCAAACATAATAATATGAATAGTGGGAAGAAAAATTTGTTTCTAACAAGTCATAGTCATGTCAAGTGTGGGCCTTATTATTTGGGTTATGATTCATCTTAAATTATTAATGCTTTATAATATATGACTTAAACAAATCTAAGAATAAGGGCAAAGGCGCCAGCTCCCATATTTTTATCATACTCACTCTAAATTCTGTGTAACCTATGACATGATTCATGATATATATTATATTTTTAATGAGATTAATTTATACACACTATTTAAGAGGTTATAATTACGCTAAATAGGCTATGGTATAAGTTATAGTCTATACTATAATAATAATTAAATATTATATCATTATAATTATAATCAATAAAATTATCATCCTTTTTTAATTCCATGTCCATATGTTATGCCATGCCATATACCTGTAAATAATTTTAGGCTATGTACTATATAGGCATATTTAAGATATTCACAATTACTTGAATTCCCAATTATGAATTTAATTTTTATCAAATCGAATATTTTTTTTTTAATTGACACCTGGTATAATTATAATTAGGTTAGCTAGCTCACACAGTCACAGTTTCGCACACAAGTTGGCCTATTAGTACACTATTAGTAAAATTAACACTAATACTGTTAGAGTTAGGCCTAAATACCAAGTTGCCAAATTAAATGTAATATCAGTAGACTATTGTCACTATTGAATATTATTACTGTCAAGACCAAGAGCTTGAAGTTTGCATTATCATTATCATTATGCTGCATACTCATACTCATGCCCTCATAATTAACAGCTTACTTACACTACAGTTTACTTTATTAACTGTTGTTACTATACTATAGACTAACTAATCTGTGACTTACTCCTACTGACTGTACTTTATACTATTATTTTGCTTTTATTTAAAATTTAACATGAATATAATGTTACCGTATGGCGTTAAGCAGGGTAATCCCTTATTTTATGGCAGAAAAGGGTCTATAAGTAAAAGAGTAAGAGTAAGGTTAATCAGCTTTCGTTCTTTAGTCGAATGAAAGGGCCGGCATGTCATTACCAGTTTTAAAATAATAAATAAGTTAATTTGTCACAATCATACATAATTAGTTGATTATTAAAGACTGACGAAATTTTCAAAGAGTGAAGCAGGTTGCTAAGACTTGATACTAAAAAGTAACAAAACTTTGGCGTGTTTTAATTACAAAACAGGCAGCCCTGATGATGCAAACGATCGTAAGCAGAGGTTTCTCTATTTACCGAAGTTCAAAATCAATCTGAGAGTAGCTTAATAGTTTTGTTTATGTGATTCATTTAGTGCTTTATTTATTTTTTTCAAGGCACAAAAACTCGTAAATATTTTAAGGTGATTTTTGTGACGTGTCTTAAGCATCCCAAATGGAGACGACTAAAAGACAGACGAGAGGGACTCCGCCTGATATTCTTATATAAAGTGATCATGGGACTGGTGCCGGCCATCCCAGCAGGCACGTACCTCACCTCACAAAAGCCGGGTAGACTGATCAGAATCAGAGCAAAACCCTCCCTGAACACTGACTTCACCACTGAAATTCCCATAAACAATTACACCCGAAACAATAGCAAATGCTTCAAAGTGCCTCAGTGCAACACAGTGCAGTACCAACAATCTTTCTTCCCACGCACAATAATAGCATGGAACCACCTTGACGATGCCACTGTGAACTCAACATCGGTCGAAAGCTTCAAGGCTGCCCTAGCATCTGCTAGGAGCTGTTAGAATAGCAACATCATACCCCCAACCGTTGCAAAGATGCCAGTACATGGATGCAGCAACGAACACTACCAGAACCAGAAGTGAAATCAACACTATACGTCAAGTATAAGGACATATGAATATGAATTCATACCTTCAATTTTATATGAATATGGTCATCATGAAGTGATATGGCAAATTGTATTAAAATCAGTTGGGTAGTTGGATTTGCACCCTTTTAACCCATATCCAAAAGCACTACACATTATTAAACTCAACCATCCTTACACTATTGGACACATCAAGTGGTGAATCACCGGACTGTCTACTTGACATATATGATCATCACAATGAAAAAGTATTAATCCAATATTTTTTTTTGACAAACTCAGATCCATCTATGACTCTAATTTAAGACAAAATGGGAAAACGACAAATTAGGGGTCATCCGTGAAGTACAGTACGTTATGCTCCATATGGGACGGGGTGTCTAAGAAAGCGCGACAGTTTGTGAAACGAGGAGAGGGGTGTAAATATATGGTATGACGTCACGCATCTTTTAATCATACAAATAAAACCTGAAATAAATTGACAGTGATGTTGAACTTTCTGTTGTAATGGCCACGTCCTGACAGAAGATGCCACTTTTATATTAGTGAGGTGTGTTTTAGATTAAATTTTAATTAGTTTTTAAATTTTTGTTAGTTCGAAAGTGTGACTGTGACGTACTTGGGAGAGGGGGGTCTGAGATTTGTGACAGATTGTGAAAAAGGGTGGAGAAGGGGATAAAAATTGTCCAAAAATAATGTGACGTAGGCCTACTTTATGGACGGCCCCTTAAGTCGTCTTCATGTTTTGTATTGATTTTAAGCTAATCTTGGCACTGCTTATTGTGAACAACATTTATTTCTGCATAATATCTCCTTTCAAGCTTTGATAGAAACTGTAATCCACATTCCAACACTTTTTCCCCATTGGAGCCTTTAAATACACAAGCCGCTGACGGAATTTACAGCTGGAACCCTCCGAAAATCGTCGCCTTTTGAGCCACGCCGCTAGTTTAAGGGCATCTTTTTTATGTGATAGAAAACGTCGCATTTTTTCTACCAATATTATTTATTTTAATAGGTTCTGCTTTAAGAATTTGCTTTTAGGAGTTAAATAGGATTGTTGGTAAGCTATTCAACACCAGGATGCTGCATGCTAAATCCAAAGTCCTGGGCACTGTCATGCATCTTCAGGAACTTTCTTTATGCCGACGAGTGTGTCCTAAATGCTGAATCAGAAGTGGGTATGCAACACAGTTTTGCAAATAGTTCCAATGCCCTCATAAACTTCCGTCTCGCCATTAACACGAAAAAGGCTGAAGTCCTTCACCAGCCAGCTCAGCATCCAAGTAAATTCCGGAAGATTTACAGTAGTGAACAACTTCTCGTACCTTGGCAGCACACTGTCACAAATCGAAGCCTAAACATTAGGCGCCACTTAGTGTAAAGACAACCAAAAAAAAAAAAAAAAAAAAAAAATCCACTAAAAATCAACATTTTTAAGTTCACACCCCCTCATTTTTGTACATTTGATTGCTAAGTTTCATGCAGATATTTTAATATTTGCTGGTGGCTCAATGGGTTGAAAGGTTTTCATGTGTTCATCCATGGCGATGAAATGTTATTTAATTAAAATTGAGTGTTGCTTTTATTTATTATATACCGGTATACACATATCATATATATTANTGTGTTTAAATAAAGGCAAGAAGGGACAGATGAGAGGAAAAGTAAGTCCAATACGATTAGTCGTAGCGAGGAGAGGGCTGAGAAAAGGTTTAAAAGGTAAATGAGAGCATGACATTCATGCCATGTGGAGCCAAGGCACCCTAAGTCAGTTTGTTTTCCAAATTCACTCGGTTTGGTGTGCTTGTACAGGACAGGATTGCACTGATAATAAAATCCTCAGAACCCTGTGGTCGCTTCTATTGAAGTATTTAGAGACGGCGCACTGCTCATCTTGCGTGATATACGGAGGTGTTCAGTATATCTGTCAGAGAGTCGGCGTCCTGTTTATCTATATACACTATATTATACGACATCTAGCAGCAGGTGCAAACAATGGCGTCGACAACATTGCGGCTAGTACAAAGGAAACCGACCTTTATATCTGAAAACTCCCCCCCCCCCGCCCCCTTCGCTTTATTGCCAATCCGCTCCCTTCTCTTTATGACCAATCGTAGTGGACTTACTTTTCCTCTCTTCTGTCTCTTTTTGCCGGTCTATTATAATATAATATAACCTACTTATGTTCTGTCACATTCCTCTTGCTGTCCTCTCGGATCCTACATTACAGCAAAGGTTTATTCTTCTTTTGTTTTACTGTTGTTTGTGCGCTGATGAAGGCTTCTAGTTGACGACACATTCGTTGTTTTGTTGCGTTCTTTTTTTTCCAGGTTTTCCCATACTTTATTTCGCTCATTTTCATTTTTCTAACCTGATTGCAGTCTCTCCTCATTATTACCATTGATCCGTTTTTGGCCAATGGAGCGTGAGAAGTTTGAAAGTCGTTAATGGTGCTGCCGAGCTAAGGATGGCCTTGATTCAGGCGGTCAATGGAACAGAAACAGTTCTTGCTTCTATTAAGTAGAAAAACACAGCCAAGAATTTCAAAAACTCAGCAAGTCTTCCTTTTCTGTAGTGTGTTCAGCAACATAAACATCGGCAGATAAATAATTAACAACATCGCGAAATTTTCGGTTATTGTTTGAATTAAGCTGATTTATTGCATACATGTTCATAATCAACTTCTAAAGTAACTGTTAGCAGCTACATGACATTTCTTCTTAAAATTAGTTATTTTGAATAATTTTAAAAGTGTATCATGAGTTGTGATGTTAACTTTAATTGTATACGACAGTATGGGAAAATATTGCAAATGTTTATCATTGTTGAGCTACCTGCAAATATTATTAGCATACATCCTCACTTTTCAGCATTCTTCTTTCACATTACAAATTTGATAACTTGACGGGGGGGAGCAGGGGCGTCATTTCAGTTTTTAAAAAAAAAGGGGGGGGGGGGCAAAAACCAAAACTTGTTCGGCTTATTAAGTTGTTTATTACTGGAGGCGCCACAGTATATATAAATTTAAATAAAACCTTCAAAGNTCTTTCACATTACAAATTTGATAACTTGACGGGTGGGAGCAGGGGCGTCATTTCAGTTTTTAAAAAAAAAGGGGGGGGGGGCAAAAACCAAAACTTGTTCGGCTTATTAAGTTGTTTATTACTGGAGGCGCCACAGTATATATAAATTTAAATAAAACCTTCAAAGCCCTACCCTACCATACCCAAATGATACCCCTGGGTGGGAGCATGAAAATTAGAATATTCATTTTTGAGTGGCATCCTGCTAACCATTGATGAGGTGATGAAACTTCAAATTCAAAGTGCAAGGGCCAGTGCAGCCTACGAATGTTTAAGTCTAAGAGTGCATTGACCAGCACTTAAGCTAAAATAAATTTTCCAAGGCGATGTGCTCCCTGGACGATCTATTAACACAATGAAAAGAGGCTGAACAACTTTCACACGACAAAACATCAGAAATCCTCAACACCAAAAGGCATGAAAGGGTCCGAGACAACGAGGTACTCCAACCAGACAGGTCTCCACATCATCTATAAATTATCCATACCATTTTAATGCAGACTTGTGGGTATGTCCGACGACCGCTTGCCTAAAAGAATACTTTATGGCGAGCTGGAGAATGGAAGGCGGTATGCTGTTAGACGGAAGACACGTTTCAAAGACAACCTAGAAGAAAAAAAAGTTTCTTTAAAAAACCCGGACACATGTGCAACACGAAGCCAAGAGAGCAGCTGCTGCAGAGCACAGAAGACAACACAGAAAAGCCCGTGTTCATTTTGCACCTGGAGATGCCTCTACTTCTACTGCACAAAATCGGTCTCATCAGCCATCTGACAGAAGAGTTTCTTTTCGATACAACATAACCAAAAATGCTGACCCCACCGAAATATTGTTTACCCACTCCATAGGTGAGATGAGGTTAAGATGGATTGAGAAACAAAAAGAAATGGGCCAAAATATATTTTAAATTATTTTATTTGTGAATGATAATCTCCTATTTATATAAAAATCTATCCACTAGATGTGAACTGAATGGCATAGAAAGCTGCAATTATCTGCATTGAGCCTTATATTCCATCTCTATACAACTATCAAGATTATTCCAAACACTATGCACAGTTCAGTTACTCAGACAAAATTAATCAGTGAGGTTTTTGTTGAAATATTGAGTTTTATCTGTATAAATATATGACAAATAATTTATTCCAACTGTAACACTTATCCACAAAAAAAAATAAAAA